TATTTTTCAAACGTCTCTTTTGTTGAATGACAAGCGTGATGTCCACCGCACCACCCGTCCGATTAAAGAGGAATACATAGACAAGGGAAATACAACTCCGTTTCGATGCTTCATCTTCTGTGCGTAAGGAAGAATACAGAGAACTCTGAATTGGAACTCTTCTTTGCAGTTATAACTGGTAAGGTGGTACCCGCTGCCTTAAAAGTATAAATAACACTCAATATTCCTTCATTTAGATGTCTTCGGCTGCAGTCCATGATGATGTTTCCCGTTGTTCGGAGAAACAAGCAGACCAAAACTTCTTCAAAAAAATTTACATACCATCATGTAAACAAGAGGCCCACAGGGCATGTATCCCTAAGAGCTGGAAATATTTTCCTTCACTGGAGACCAATTTGACAATGTCAGATGTCTTACTAACAAAGATAACTAATTCATTTTTTTTGTTGATCCCAACAACAACAACAACATTTATTTCATTTTATAAAATTTTATTAGAATTGTACTGGTGATAAAAAATGAATGCATACAGAAGGTGTTATCTTTGCTTTGATCTGGTCAGGCTAAATCACTAGTCCCACATCTGGTGTTGTTGCCACTTCCTTGACTTTGTTGATGCATACGCGAATTGTCATACCTGGTTTCTGACCCTGCGTCTGGTGTGGGACACAGGGACCTGATAATTTGTTACAGCTATATTTGGAACTAAACTAAGGCGTTCAGAGTAATTTTACAAGTTTTAGGGGTTTAGATCGACTTTTGGTAAAAATAACATATCATATAAATGAGTATGTATGATCACATAAGCTTGATGAAGGCTGTACAGACCAACGGAAGTAAAGCTCATTGGTACTCATGGCCATCTACGGAGGAAGTAGTTGGCTTTCCGCCCAATTGCTTCTACCATCATTGTTGGGGTCGAGTCCTGGTATTTGTATTTCTCTTGTAGGCCCATCTTTTCTAAACACTTCATCCATTTCACCAGGTAGTCCTGAACTTTCATCTTGTTCCAGAAACCATACAAGGAGTCATTGTACCACTTACTAAGACATTTGATTGGTTTCTTCATGATGTTCGGTATCTTTTCTCCTTGCACTTGTGTAGCTTGAACCTTTCAAGCGTCCTGCCTTGATTGCCATGCATTTAGACATCTTTGGCTTGTCACGTCATCCATGAATCCACTTTTTGCTGGTACGTGAATTCCTGGTCCTCTCATCAAAAAAGATACCTCAACTAACTAGAACTGTAAGCCAAAGGCTAACTAATACCCCCGCTCCTATATAAACCAGAACGGTACACTAAAGGCTTACCTATGCAATTCAATATAGTCTCCCACCAGTAATGAGTTATGGTAAATACTATTTTATTAAAAACATAAAAATAAAATAACTAAAAAATAAACAAGTGTTTCGCACAAAGGGGCATCACTCCATCAAAAAGGGTTGAAATCCCAAATTAAAATGCCAGTGCACAACAACATAAGATACCGATCATTCATGATGGTTTCAATAAAATCCACCTATTAGTTAAGGAGGAGTTACATGGGCAAGTATTTTGCACAAAGGGGCATAACTACATCAAAAAGGGTCGAAATCCCAAATCAAAATGCCGATGCACAACTACATAAGATACTGATCATTCATTCAAAGTTTCAATGAAATCCACCTGTTCGTTAAGGAGGAGTTGCGCGGACATGAATTTCGCAAAAAGGGGCATAACTCCATCAAAAAGGCTCGAAATCCCAAATTAAAATGCTGGTGCACAACTACATAAGATACTGATCATTCATGCAAAGTTTCAATGAAATCCACCAGTTAATTAAGGAGGAGTTTTCCGGACAAGTTACTGCGGACCACAGACAGACAGACATCCAGACAGGGTGATTCCAGTAAACCCCCCTAACTTTGTTGCGGGGGTATAATAAGAGGGAAGAGAAGCTATCTTCTTTTATCTTAAATAAACCTAATAATTAAAGACACCTGTTCAGGATTAGACAGCATTATTCAGATCATGGTTTGATACCGATGGACAGGTGGAAGTCCAGAGTAAGTTGAAAATGTTTCAAATTCATTTTAGTTGTGAATTGGTTTGAACAATAGTTGTTGAACAGGACCAATTGTATGAGCTGCAGTGTTTAGTTCTTGTAATTACATGCACAAATCAAATTACACAGAATGCTGATGGTACCAAATTCTATTGAGTCACTCATCTGATTATATGATTAAGCATCCAATCAGAATTGGCATAGCAAATCAATAAGGGTCTTCCTCTTCCTCGAGAGCAAATCACACTCCAAGTCTGATTTCTGTATGATCCTTTCTTCTGAAGTTAGGATGAGGACAATAAAACTTAAATTATTTAACAAAATTCTTCTATAATATTCCCCTACCCTCAGAACAGGACACAGAAATCTAACACTGAGGTGTTATAGTGTTGGGACTAACACAGCAGCATAAAGAAGACCACTAAGGGTGGTTTGGTGGTGCAATGGAAAGCGCACTCGCCTTTCACCAAGGTGACTGGTGTTCGATCGGACGTGAAAGGGTATAGGTTCACCTGCCCTCCCACATTAAGACCCTACGCGCGCTTCCATCCGGGTCAACAAGAAAGATAAATATAAGTTGAAATAACTTGTTTCATAATTGTTGTAAAATAAATAAAGATTATATCTATAAAGAAGACCCTTCACCCATCAGTGAAGAGTAAGCGCCCAGTGAAGGGAAATATTTCCATTCCCTACGTGGGAGAGGTGTCTGAGGTAGATCAGAAAGATCACTAAACCTACAAATACAATCCCTAGCATGTCTATGGCTCCCAAAGACAAGACCAAGACACTAGACAAGGCAGGAGAAATATATAGCAGAACTTATGTGCAGAATGCACAGCAGCATATGTGGGTGAGACAGCAAGAGCCCTCCGGAAACAAGTCTGAGAAAATCACAGAGACCCGTCACCAGTCGGAGCTCATATGAGCCAAAAATCACACTCTTTTTTGGGCTCTCAACATCAGAGTTCTGGACCAAGAGCCCCGCTGGTTCCAGAGGGGAGTTAAATCATTCACCCCCGAAGAAACATTTGAACTCTTCCAATTCAATGGTTGGAATAGTTCATAATGACATTTCAGGGGTGAATGAATTAAAGAGGCCATCTACATCGCAGCCACAAGTCCGGACCAATACTAAGGGTGCTACCACCTATCGCCAGCCTATGCCAGTCTGATTCAGTCACATGACTTTGGGATAATGCCTGGGTCTCATGCCTGAATCAGGAGGTCGCCAAAAGCTACCAGTGATTAGTATTTAGTTGAGAGACAGAGTTCAATATTTTTAAACAGAGTAATTTTGTTATAATCTTGATTGTCTACCTTGAAGTCTGCTTTAAGCCAATGATAAGACATTCAAGACTATCACCTTGAGAGTTGAGATATCTCTTGAATATCTTCTCCAACAGGAATAATTCATGTTCTCCCATCCTGCTTATATCACTGGGGTAACAGCATTGTTGAACAGGTCAATGACAGGGGGGATAGTTCTGTTAACAGTGTGAAAAATAATGCCTGTTTTGATTGGTCAAGTCAAGTATTTTACCTGTTTGGGGTTTAATGTCCTTGCAACAACTATGGTCATAAAAAGGAAGGTGCATATGGAGACAAGAGACACAGAGGGCCTGTATCGATCACCTGTTCAGGCATCATGCGATTGGAAGTGCAAGATGATAGTGTCAGTCTGTATGGGTTTATTGGAACAATAACATTGATGTAATGGGACTTTCAAAATTTGCACAAAATGATTCAGCACATTTTTTGTTTGTGTTTTTGTTGGTAAATACTTTCATTTTCCCAGAAAATAAACAGGTACACATATTGGAGACTGGCAGGTTTAAGGAGTGCTGTGGTCAATTGCTGTTACAAAAAGTATTCTTCACACGAGGGATTTTTTCCTTTTAATTTTACCAGACAAATGTTGTGAATCTTCGCCTTTCAGTTCCTCAGGACAAGTGGGTTGAAATTCTTCACGTTTGCAAAGCTGAATCATCATCACCTAGGGCTGATGCCTTACCAAATTTAGTTGTAATTGGTCTTGTAGTTCTTGAGAAGAGGTTAAAATAAAAGTTTATGGACACAAAGCAGAAAGCAACAGATTGCTATTGCTCACTGTGCCAAATGTAAAAAAACAATAAGTATAAAAACTCAAGCAGAATTTTTTTTTTTTAAATATTTATTGCAAGGGTTTTATTTTAAATATGACATAACTTTTGACAGTAATGGCACACATCCACACATGTGGGAATATACAAGTGAAATATTCATATCGCAAAAAAAGAAAATGAAAATCAATGCATTTACAGTTGAAGCCTTGTTACTGACCTACTGACCCAAGTTGTTCCTCTAATAAGCAAGTGTTTTAGGGAACATGATTCCCTTGTTTTCTAGGTAGCAGTATACAGTAGAGGGTTGTGGCCATGGGTGATATTTTTGTTAAATGGCGAACCCCTGTATAATGATATGTAAAACAATTATAAAAATAAAACTGTACTAAAATTGGTATAAGCATGATGAAGTGGGCTATGTGAGCTTCACATTTGTAAAAGAAAAAGAAGTTTTTTTTGGTTCGAGAATAAAATTTTGACCATTATCCGAAAGGGTGCCTACACATGAAAAGCTAGCTTTACAGGAGGGAAAATTTTGACAACAGCACACAACGTAAAATTGCAAACAATCAAGTTTTACAACTTTACTGGGACCCAGATAATTCTGCAACCAGGTAGGTAATCTTTAATTTCAGACAGAACTAAGGAAAAAAATTACTAGTTGCGGGGGTCATATTTTGGGTCAAAAATAGCAATTTTTGGCATTTTTTGGTAACTTTTGATGTGGAAACCATGGTTTTCACACAAGTGACATACATAGAAAAAAGAGGTTTCTACACTTCTCAGTACTTTATATGTATTGTAAATGTAATGCAGTTTACAAATTTATATACATGTATACATGTGTTGTGTAGGGTAAATCCGCATTTCCTCGACATGTGCCTTGTTTATCAGAGTCGGGCCATTTCTACTGTACACTGCTACCCTATCACAAACAATATCAGGAAGACAGCCATTGTTTCAATCATATAAATAATTATTTCACTGTTTTAATACAGATCAAATGTACAGACTTACTAGTAATTTAATTTACACAGTTTACCGGTAATAAAAAGAAAATATTTGATGTAAATTTATAACATTTATTTTGCTTTGAAATGAAGTAAGTTCAGATTTTTATATAGTATCAGTATATGTTGTTATATTATTTTCATTTTAATCGCTTTAAAAAAACACCCATAAAAAACAGAATTTGTTTTCATGAAATTTAGGCCACAAAGAAATATTTCTGTTTCAATAATACAGCATTACATCTTAATATACCACAACTGGAATGTGACAAATATCAAATAAATACATATTGACAAACGTAACAAGAGTATAAAATAACGATATACAGTGAAGAGTGGATAGGAAGTTTTCCAGAATAAATATAAAGGACCAACAACTGGAGTAGCATATCTCTGTGGTGTATGAATCTGCCTGGAAACTCCAATGTCTAATGAAGAAATGATATATTTTTTATCTTAGAAGAGTGATGGTATGTCGGTTAATGACCTTATCTTTATTAATTAATTTGTTTTTCTTAAACAAAAAATATTAACAGTAATTTTCCACTATGCACCCTTGTTAAATTTATCAAGTTCACCAATATGAGAGATCAAGATATCGGAAAAACAAGTTGTTATTGGCAGAAGGAACTATCTCTTCGAGATCGTAAAACCAGATCCCCTTTTTAGGTTCAGAATAAACATTCTTAAATTGATGGTAAAGAGTTGATTGTAACATATGAGTGCGAGGAGTTTTCAGGCATTAAAATTTTAAAAAATGTGTATCTATTTTTGAACAGTCCATCTGAACACCTCCATACTCACTCTAAATGACAGCTGGCCTTAATTCAGACCTATTGCACAATAGTTATTGCATTATATGTATATATTTTCTATGTTTCACTACATCTACAAACAATTTTTTGCAGTCCATATAGGGATTGAATAGCATTTTCAAAACATTTTAATACTGGCATGAAAATTTAAAAAGAAATGTCGTTCAATCCATATAGTTACATTTTTTTTATACTGTAGAACAATTGTTTAATATCATTGTTCTTAAATTATTTATTTATTTACTGAGTTTTGTATATGAGTCCATTTAACGACAATGGCAGAACAGCCCTATTTAGATAAATTTGGCACCCATAATTAACCATGGTCATTTGAGCCTTTGACACAAGGGCATTCTCCATGTTATTCAAAGCGAAGTGACAAAACTCACATTGAACAAGGTTAATCTATGACATCATAAGTAAACCACATGTTACGTCACAAGAGTTTCTTGTTTTCATACTAAAATTAAATGCATTTCTGCTGGTAATGTTCATCTACAATGTCGTGGGTTGCAGCACAAATGTAAATGTTTATCATCAAAGACTCGCGCAATATTTTTTCTCACATCTTGTTAATTATCATAACACTATCCCATGTTATTTTTTAGCATATGGTATGTCAAGGTCACATGATATTTTAGCTCGCAAAAAATGTTCACAATTCAAATATTTATATCAATAATTAAGATTTTCAAACTGATATCAATCCCTATACATATCTGATATGTGTGACGTAGTGTAAATTATCATCAAAACACTGCCAATGCTTGAAGTTAAATTCCCTAGCAAATGATTTATGTACCTAATACTTGGATAAGAGACAAGAACAACAAATATACTGCAGACAGGATAATTTTTGTGGCAGTGTTTTTTTCATTGTTTTTACATTACAGTGAATTTGGGAATTCAACATGACACAAGAAACATTACAAACCAAATTAATGACAAAACTACAAAGTCCACTCCGAGATAATTAATGATTTAACACGAACAGTACAACATGTGTTCAAAACTATATCATTATTCACAGAGTGTGTCGTTCTGATAGAAACGTATTGTATACTGCTACTTTACCACTAAAGCAGTGACATAAATTATCATCAATCACAACAGTTTCCTCAATAAATTAAGCTATGTGTGTGTATTATGATATGCTTCTTATAGTAAGTAACATGATATGAAAAGATAACTTATCTTATTCACCCCTACATATTTAAACTGGACTTGCCCAGTCTTTGATTTGATAAGGTTCAAATGTGACTTTAGGGGTGAATGGGTGAACACTTTAGGGTGAAAGCTGTTGCAGTTGTACATGGATGTTCTAATAATGGGGTAAAGCCCTTCAACAAGGCGCAATTGACATACTGTATACCAGGAAACTTATGCCCAGTCAAATATTCGCCTTTTGCCAATAAAATCCATGTTTGCCTAGTTTTAATTTTGCCCATAACACATAACCTCTATACATTGTATGTTTTGTACTAATATTAACTATGATTTGCCTTCATTGGGGAGGATGAAAAAGGCGCAAGTTTAACTGCAACAAAATTTTCCGAGTATACAGTATTAAAACAGGAAGTGTCAAAATAAAAACGACATTGACATTTGAGTGGCTTGTAATTGCCACCAAGTCCAGGTGACCTTAACCTTTCCAGGTGGCCTTGACCTTCATTGCAAGATCTAACCTTGACCTTCCTGGGATTTGTGTGGGGAATGCTGGACAATGTCCTTTCACTGTGACAACAGAGTACATATATTGACCTTTCCATCCATAGCTCCGGTGAGACAGACCCGAGTGTCAATGCTCGGTGACCAGTCGACAGTGGTCAAGTTAGACTTGTGTTCACTCAGGTCCATTGTTCTGGACAGATCACCATTGACCTGCAATACAGAAAAAGTGGAAGTTATATTTTCCATCTCAAAATCTCGTCATATTTCAACTCATTCACTCACTTCTCATTCAATCTTAGTAAACTGTCAATGCCTATCTCCATTTAGGTATACTTTATACCCGAACATAACAGGGTCTTCATTTAGGTTGTAAGGTGGTTCAGATGTGTGATGGAAATAATTATTAGCCAAATTGCTATGTAACAGACCACTGTTATTTAGCATTAATAATATATCTCCTGCTTCGAATATATCTCATTAAACTAATTGACTGGTTTTTTTTTATTTGAATAATGACTTGATTGAAAGTATGTATCTCATAATTGTTGTACACAAACTTGGTGTTTTATAATTCATCCTATGCTATACAACATTTCTTTAAAGCATTCAAAATAATTAGGGAACACAACAGATGTTACTCTTTATCAGAAAGTAGAAAGTTTGGATATATAGAAGCCAGATATAAGGCAATCTACTGCACCAGATATTAAACATTATATTACATAATGTATAGTTGCTGAATATTGCGGGGTTGAAATTTTGCAATGTGACTTGAACTTATTCGCAGGGTTATAATATCAGAAATCTCAATTTCTGTAAGTCTATTTTAGAACACCTTGCAAAGAGATGCGAGTGCTTGTTACTACTAGCAACCAACAACCCGACATCTTTACTGGACACAGGTGTATACCTGTTCCTAGTATGTACCAGATATTAAAGTTGTTTTCGATAAATTCTTTTGCATGTCGTTTTTATAAAGTGTATTTTTATCAAAACAATGTATTGACCTGGTAGCCTTGGCTCAACTGGTATCACAAATGTGATTTAACACTTTCGCGAAATTAAAACCCTTGTGAATATGACCAACTATACAGTAGTCCATTTTACACAAACAGGACAATGGGTTGCTAATTTATGTACATGTATTTGCTTCAGTAAAAACAAATGCAGAAACGATTTTTGTAATTTCCAATCTACCATGTTATGATGTGAACACACCCATGTCATACACGTTTGTGTATTATCTCTTGTGTGAACACATATCGTGTGGCAGAAATAGGACAATACACATGATATCACGATATTGTGAAAACAGTGAAAAAATCACACGTGATTTTTAAACATTATTATCTCAGAGCTTTCCTCTTATCTTGGAATAGTCTTGCTAACTCATTCACCCATGAAGTTTCATAATGAACTATTCCAACAATCGGAAAGAGTTTAAATGTGTCTGCAGGGGTGAATGAGTTAAAAGGATGCATCGTTGACTCATTTCATAAATCTCATACAAAATAGAAACTAAATAAAGATCTTTAATACATATATATATATATATATATTATAAAAGCAACAGAAAGCTCCTTACAGACGAAGAAATAATATAAAAAAAAGATATCTCAACATCATGTCTTTAGTACTTTCATCTCGTCAAGGATATTCTTCAGATTGAAGAATCTTCAGATCGAAGAATCTTCAGATCAGATCGAAGAATCTTCAGATCGAAGAATCTTCAGATCGAAGAATCTTCAGATTGAAGAATCTTCAGATCGAAGAATCTTCAGATTAGATCGAAGAATCTTCAGATCAGATCGAAGAATCTTCAGATTGAAGAATCTTCAGATCAAAGAATCTTCAGATAGAAGAATCTTCATATTGAAGAATCTTCAGATTGAAGAATCTCCTTGACGGGCTGAAAGTACTAAAGACATGATGTTGAGAATTTTTCTTTTTATATATATATGAATATATATTTATGATGCCGTGGTAATCAAAATACCATCCCTAACCAGTACCAGCCTACCTTATAAACAAGGCCCTTGTTTTTGTCACAGGTCAAGATATACTGGCCCTCTCCATCAAACGCAAATAGTCTCCCCTTAGGTATTTCTTTTCCTCCGGAGAGTCCACTGGCAAGAAATGGGAGTGAGGCTCCGGGATGGATAGACAGTTCCTGCTGCTGAAGTCCTGGCTTGTGAACACTCCACTGTAGAAACTATACAGGAAGCAATGATATAAAGAGATTAAGAATGAAAATTCTCACTACTACATGTACCACAAGACCTTCATTTAATTTCATTTGTTTTATTTGACACCTGGCTTATTGCTAACATATTTCAAGGTCACCTTTTACCACAAGTCCTTGTACCATATTTGTATGAAATCTTTCAATTCTGATACTGTCATCTTGTAGCCTTTGTGACTATCTCCATAAAGAGACTACTGTGTTAAGAGGCCACTTTTGATGATCTACAATGTAGTGATATTATGTCAACTGCACTTTTATGAGACAACCTGTATTAAGTGACCACCAGGTTTTACAGAGGAAAATTAAGGACGTCCAAAGGATGGTCTCTTAATCGAGTTTGACTGTATTTCCATTGACATAGCATTATTGCAGAATTTTCATAAAAATAAAACATTTTGTTCAAACTACCATTGAGTCTGATCCCATATTGTAACAAGCTTAAGGTTGATTGTATTTCCATAGCATTATTTGAGAATTTCCCATTAGATTTCTCATAAAAAGAGAACATTGCATTGAGCCTACCTTTGAGTCTGATCCCATACTGTAACATGTGGTCTCGTCGTTTGAGAACTGGAGACTCAGGACTTCCCCGTTGTGGGCCTCCCATTGTGAGATACAACGACACTGCTGGATGTCTGTCAAATATAAAAATCTTAGTTAGGATTCCCACACATAATACAGTGTACAACATTAATTCACTTTCTCTGCTTCTTCTTTCCAAAAATATACCAATAAAGACTAAGTTTTTTTTTAACACAAACAGGAATTGACAAAGAAAACTTATTTCGCGAGCACTGATTAGGTACACTGTGGCTTAGCGAGTTGTTTTCAGCGGTTTAGAGTAGACACCGGTCATTTACACTTTTTGCTTGACAAAGGAAACAGACATTTTCAAAAGCTCACAAAGTAAGTTTTCAACTCCTGTTTGTGTTCAAAAACAAACTGAGCCTTTATTATTTATACCAGACTGATGAATTTTGTTCCCAAAATATATCAATTTTCCTGTAAAAAGAGGGTTGAATTTCAAATTTCTCTCAATATCCCTTTTTGACTTGATCAGGTATATAAAACAAGCATTAAGAGTTCCTGACTTTCCCTATCCTGTTCAAATAGGAAATGACCATCACTTTTCTGCCTTTTATTGGAATGGGAAACTTGTCCAAATATCCACTATTTCGTTCAAACGGGAAATTTCCCCAAATTATTCCGATATGTATATACACTTAATAGGAAATGTTCCAGCTTTTCTGTGTCTCGAATAAAAAAATGGAAGTTTCCTTGATCCCATTGGAACCTAGAAAGAATACATTACATCCTTGATAAAAAAAAAGTTTTGATTTTATTCAATAGTTTGCTGAGTATATACAAACAGTTATTGATGTTTAATGTATGTTTTGAAGAGTCATCCATCTTGTACTATGAACAAATAACAAATACTCAAGTATATTGATGGGAGAATAATGACAATTTTACATTTATAACCAAATCAGGTCATTTTATTGAATCCCTGAAGCATTTTTATTTTGGTACACTCTCTTCTTGACAAAACAATAATTTATTATCTTGTTGAATTCTATTACCACAAAAAAAATATTCAGAGTGAACCCTGGAGTATGCCTCTATGAGGTAGGAGAGGGATTAGGGAAGGGAGGTCACTCTGTTTTTTATGGTAAGTGGTTTGTTTAGAGATATGACAGTTATGTTATGGAACATTCTTGATGTCTTTACCTTTGGAACTTTTAAATTTTCTGCTAACCTGAAATGCATAAATAATCATATAACTTGAATGTGAGATAGAAAAAATAGGGTTCTGATGTTCCAAAGTAATTTGTTTCCCTAATTTTGTGATTATCAAACCAAACTTAAGTACTAAAGATGAACAAGTTGTAGTATCTATATGTTTGAAAGATCATCTTACCATACATTCTTATAACACCATCTGCAGCCCCAGTCAAAAGAAGCTGACCGTTATGGTTGAATGAGCAGCAGTTCACAGCCATAGGGCCAGGATCAATGGGGAGTTGTTTCTGTAAAGGCAGGGATATATTGTGTGCTAGAAAATACCATCAAAACACATGAAACTCATATCTTTTTTTTCATGGTAAAAAAGCAAAATAATTGAAAGTTTAAAAAAAACAAAATTGAACAAAATTCTTTCAATAAGATAGTTAAGTGCTTATATTAAGTGTTTATATCTCATGGAGGTTTATTTTTCACTATTTGTCATTTTAAAAAAATATCCAAAATGTAAAAATGAGACTTTGTGGTCCTTCAGTAAGAAATTGGAGGATTGCTAACACTCTGATTACATTTGTTTCAGATGCTGATTCAGCAGTGACATTTGCTGGAGGGTAAAAATTCACGATATAGATTCTAAAATAAATGGTTGGTGACCAGTAAAAATATTACTGATTTTCATGGTGCATAATTATAAGTTAGACAATAAAACGATTTCTTAGTGATACATAATGTACTTCATTTTTCACAGAATGTTATAAGGGATCCTATACAGATCCCATACACGTCAACTGTTGATTGAGCGACTTACATTGACCTTCATGGTACGTAGATCCCACAGTGTCAGCTTGCCGACCTTGCTGATGGATGGTGCTGGGCCACTTTCTCCACTTGAAGATCCTGACCGAGTCCTATTGACCGACGCAGAGCACACGAAAGATCCTCCTGCAGGACTGGCACACAGGTTAATTACCCTATAACAAACCAATACTATTATCTATTGATATTCTTTAGACCATAAACTGTCATAAAATCGGAGAGAGCACATTAAAGATGTTTTTATAGTATAATATTGTACTGGTGTATACCCATGCAAGACATCTATCTGTCAAAATGTCTAAGTCTGGTGTCAGGGCCAGAGGAAACTCAGGCTAATTTAAGGAATTACTCCTATGTCTCGTAAAGAACCTCCCCTCTCTGCCCCCCGGGAGAACACACTTTTCATTTATACAAAATTTCAATCAAAATCACTTCAACCAATCTAGACTAGTAGTCTTTTTAAGAAAAGAAGATGGTAAGATGGACAACAAGAAATGACAGGCACCATACCATGGCATAACCTCATATGACCTTCAGTTGAGTTGAAACCCCTAAAAAGGTTTTGAGTTTAATCCAGTAAATTGCCTCTCTCGACATTTAATAATTATCCAATGTTTGTTGGGCAATCACAGGTCATAATAATTCCACACCTAAGTTTGAGATATTTAAAATGAAGTACATTTTACCTGGGGTAGCTAGCATCAGCTGTTGCTTCATAGAAGGACTTCATTTCTTTCACATCAAACAGTCGAATGTTTCCTGATCTGTTGCCTAGCAACAGCTGTCAAATCATAAGAAATACTTGAAATTATTTCACCTGTTCACATAACAGTTTTGGTCTAATTCACAGAAAAGTATGACTCTTAATAAAAAAAAATTTTTTTTTTAGGTTTGGGAGAAAACACTCCTGATGTAAAAATTGTACAAAATATTTCAAATCCCCAATTGCCCCTTATTTTTCTCACTCAATACCTTTCATAAGGACCTGATTGTAGGGTCCTTAAAATGTATGCTATTGATGCTATTTTTTCAGTTGAAACAGAATTTATTTTGAGAAAAATAATATATAAATACATTTTAGTGTTCATTCTACATCATTTTCTCCAAGATTCTCTACTTCAAACAGTTATGTTTATTTATCAAACGAAAATGAGTAACTGATAGTGTTTTTAACTGGTTTACCACTGACACTTAGAACTTCAAAGTTTGGGTTATTGCTGGTGAATATATACGTGGAACGATTGGCAGGCATTTATAATTGACAGTGTATGGGTTATGGGTCTAAAATAATAACATTGACTTTGTCAAAAATATAAACTGTATTTTTTTACAACAATTATGAAACAAGTTATTTCAATTTATATCAATCACGTTTAAATTTGTTAGCCCAGATGTTAAAGTGCAGGAGGTCTTAATGTGAGAGGAAACCAGAGCACATGGAGAAGACCCACGTGGTCGGGCAGGTGACCCCATACCTTTTCACATCAGATCGGGGAATTGAACCCTGGTTGCCTTAGTGAAAGGCAAGTGTACTATCCACTGTGCCACCCAAACACCTAAGTTTATTCAACTGTTAGTGGTGAGACAACAAAATTGACTCTGACTTTTCCTAAAATGAATCAATGAGTTGACTGATCTTTGATAAGAATCGCTAATTTCAATCACTATCAAAAATATGGACACACAGAGTGGAACAGACTGTACACCTATCATCTGGACACATTACAGGTAATTTTTAGCATACCCATCTGTCAGACTTGCTGGCCCACTCCAGAGACAGGAAGGCTGACTTAGACATGACGGTGGCTGCGGTGGTAGGCTGGGGACTCCACGTCCAAACTCTGTATTAATAGACATACATGAGGTTACCCGGATAAAATGACAAAGTATTTTGCTTGCGTTTAAATATTTTCGATTTAATGCAAAATCAGAAAACAAAATTATATTTAAATAGTAAGAGGAAACTGTAAAAGAAAGTTAATACATGTATGTATTTTGATTTCGTCTGTTTTCTTTTCATTTTTCAGGATGAGTGTTCAATATCAATTGAAAATTACTTTAAATCAAGCTTTGACAAATATCTTTTTACATTCTAAACGGCCAAAGGAAAGATTAAAATCGATGAATTATTTTTTTACGAATGCTGATTAATTATAAAGAGTACAAGTAGTAACAGGAACAGCTGGTTCCTTCTTTATTTGCATGTGAATAAATATTAATGAGATATTTGATGTTGTTTCTAATAATGAATTAAAGCCAATGTAAAAGCAAGTATCTCACAAAAATCACAACGCTGTGAGTTCACCTCAAGCTTATTTGGAGACTGATTTTTCTCTCTCATGTTATGCTAAGTTTGTGGAAAACTATAAGTTTGAGCTTGAGTGTAAGTATAATAATTTGGACCAGGAAATTTAAGAGCTAAGTGGACAGGACACCTACTTGACCACTCCATCCACGTCCACACTGGCAACATACTGACCAGTGTTCGAGAACCTACAATAGGACAGCGCAGCTCTGTGCTCACAATATTCCTCCTACAAAACAGTAAAGCAGATGGCATGCTGAAATATTCTTAAAGGTTATATGGTATATTCCTGTAACAATGCATTTGTTTAGCAAAAGGGTTTCCATACTAAAACAATAAGAGGTATTGGAGAACAGCATAGCTCGCCTATTGGTGATATATGTTGTAAGATAGCAAATATCAATAGAAACAAATGTCTGTACAGTAAAACCTTGATATAATGCCTGTCATTTCATTTGCCATCACACTTACTGCCAACATATTTCCAGATTACTTAACTATGTTTTTCTTAAGAATTCCTTATTCCGTCTTCGCGTATTGTAGAGTTATCTTATCTTGGGAGCAGGTATTGATTGTTACGTCACTTGTTTGTGAGAGTAAAGTCATCAATTTTTGAGAAAACAATGTAATTTTCTCGCACAAACAAATGACGAAACAATCAATACCTGCTACCAAGAGAAGATAACTCTGCAATATGCAAAGACGGAATACATTTCCCTAAATTTATTGCCAAACCCATTTATAAGGCCAACATTTCTTTACAAATGATGGCAATATAACAAGGTTTTGCTGTACCTTAACATGTAAGAAGAGATGACCAGCCAATATGAAATAGTCAACAGGGAATTGATGGTGGTGACTGATCCAACACTGCACAAAAAAAACATGCCCGAACACTTTTAACCTTGTCTTACTAACTAGTTTTGGCCCCTAAAATAATGAAAATATAATTCAGAACATTGCTTACACCCCCTTCAAATACTCCAACCTTATAATAGGCAACAGCCTATTGGTGGTGGTGATCCAACACTTCCCAAAAACAACTTGCCCAAAACTTTAACCTCAAGCTTGCCCCAAAACTTTAACCAAGTCCAACTAAGCTGTAAAACTTTAAACTCAGAAGGTGGGACTCCGACGTGACTACAATAGCCCCCCTATTCTCCCAATAGGCGAGCTAAAAATGTAGAATACTAATCATGGACAGTAGTTTGACATATCATATCAGGGATCCCTGTCCCCCTGCAGGAAAATCACTGCAAATTTCACTACAGTTTCTTTTTATACACATAGTTATCTGCCATTATTTCATTCTAAATATACTGTAATGGGACTGGGCTAGGGAGCTTAAACTTATCAGGCACCTCAGTTGGTTAGATCGACCATATATTGGGGCCCATCTCTCTGTTTATTAAGAAAAGGAGTCCCATTTGCCCAAGGATGCTCTACACAAAATTTGGTTAAAATCCTTCCAGTTGTACTGAAGGAGAAGAATTTTAAATATTTATTACTATATTCCCCCTATTGGGCCCTGCCCCTCTGCTCCCATGGGTCCAAGGATGCTCTAAACAAAATTAGTTTCAAATACCACGAATCAATCTAAAGGAGAAGGATTTTTAAAATATACCTTAAGTTCCCCTATTGTGGGTGCCCTCTTTACTTTGCTCATGGATGCTCTGGACATAATTTGGTTTTAAACCCTCCAATTGTACAGAAGAAGAATGTTTTTAAAGATTTGTTTCTTGTTTCTATTTCCCGTTCAGGACAACTAGTGCTTTAAAGGGAAAATAGACGGACATACAACCAACGTCGTGCCACGACATTAGCTTGCTTGCCCTACTAGCAGGTGAGTTAAAAGTGAGTGTCATCTAGTATTAGACATTTAGTTTCACTTACCTGACTGAGTAGCAGAAAAGGACAGGATTCCACACCTACAAGTTACAAACAGTCATTGATCACTGATATTTGACAAGTAAAAACATCGGCCATGAGTATATCACTTTTCAAACAAGTCCTGTCACTTCCAATTTGTACTCCTTGGCAATATATAGTTTTTTTATTATGACAGATATCATCATTTTTAGGCCGACAATAAATGTGATCCATAAATTAAACCTTTGAAGTAGACTCATGGAAGATAATAATCATGTTTTTGTATGAAAATACTGAAGCAAAAACATTGTAATGCCAGGTTGTTCCCTAGGTTTTTTCTCATGTCCCTTTGTTTATCTATGAACTTATTGGCTAGTTGGGAATCACATTTTTAAAAAGTCTAGCACTATCACCGAGACATACTGTAAGAGCTCCTCTACTGACCTGTTGTAGGAGACTTGGATTCAGCAGAAAACTGGATCATCTCCACTTGTTTCGGATGACCCGTGGTCTTGGAAGACTCCACAACACTAACAGATCTGGCAGTGTGGTGGGACGTTACATTGGGCGTGTCTGTAGTTCCAGCTGATTGGGCTCTGGTGACAGGGGGTGTTGATTTCCCGATCAATCCTCGCTTCACTGGACTGATGTCCCCTTCACTAGGTCTCTGTAGTCATAGATAGATCAGAATTGGAAACTTGTATAGCAATTCTTAATTAATATGAAGGTAATTGCATGTACATTGTATTACTTGGCTTGCATATTTAAGAAATAATCAATGTTTTGCATGTATTATGGTGAAATATATAACGACGGCTGATTGTGGCCTGAGTTGATTACTTTTCCAACCAATTAAAGGTGTTGTTACATCCTAGAGGTGGTAGAATTCTACATAACATATTTTTCCTCCTTGCCTTCAAATTTACCACTCAAAATAAATGTGTAATTCTCAGGGCTTGAGTAAATTGCGATGAAGTTAACACCCAGCGAAAATAAACCCAGTAGAGTCATTTGTACCTTCTCTATTTTTAGTTCAGGACCACCCAGGAGTTGTCCCCTCTCATTCATGTGTTGGTCGATAACTTTCTGTCTTTGATGTAAACCCACTGCCAGGCCCGGACTCCCCTGGATGTCCTCTGGGCCTACAGCTGTAACCTTGGCTGGTGACCTTTGTATAGCATGGTCACTATGGTCCACTAAATGCTTGACCTGATCAGCGCTCCCATTTCCCCCTCGTGACTGCCCCTGGGGAGGGGTTGCCCCTGCCTGGGGCTGCGAGGGTTTCAGCTGTTTGGTCTGTATGTTTACAGGCTTGCTTGGAACCTTTGCCCTAGCAGATGGTTTAGCTGCTGTCTTTGATGCTGTTTGGTCAATTTTCTTTGAATTATTGTTTCCTCCACTTCTATTGGTCGATTTTTTTCCCAGGAGAGGGGGAGCAGAAAAATTGATAGGAAATCTCCGTGTTGTCTTTTGTTGTTTTTCTTGTTCGAAACTTTCACTGTAAAACAATGGCAGTTAAAAATTTGTATAAAACAATTTGCCAATATTTTTTTATTGTTACCCCTAATGGTGTCGGAATTGAATGTCACCTAGTCACCAGACTGACCCTATTCCAACTTCAAAGTGGTTATTCCTGACAATTGTTTCTGAACACCAAAGAGTACATTATTGACAAAAATAGCACTGCAGTCACTTTTCATTCTGACATTTTATCATTGCTTGTTCAATAGGAAAAACATTTACAATTTATACTTTTTAAAAAAATTAATAAATTAGAGACGAAATTTGAATACCAATGTCTAGACTTCTTTCATAATTCTTCAGGAAATTACAAACAAATGAGGATTCTCTGTCTAAATTCAAACTCTGTAGTCTGATATTCTGTGTAATATTAGTAATATTTAATACACTGCCTGAATTGTCTATAGACACAACATCCTGTGTTTGATTGCTTTACCCGATTATCGTGGCTGAATTGATTTAATTTGAAAATTGATTTATTAATTATTTAAATGCTCCACGATACATACTCGGCCAATGCTGAAAAGTCATAGATAAGATCCATAGAGTTAGCTCCCCTGCTAATGGGCTCATTTGGTGGGTGATTTCTCATCTGGCTTTCGGTATCTGATTTTGGGGTAGAGCTAAGAAGCTGTATAAAATATAACAAAATATCAATGAATTTAATTTTCAAAAATTCTTGACAATACATGTATAATGTATTTTAGTTAAATGTTCAAACTTCCACGTTATAGCTTTGAAAATGTATAGCAATTTTTGTTAAGTACATTTACCATTGTTGATTGGAAGATATGACGGTACAAATAAGCATGGCGTTTTTTCGTTATCTCACACCAAACGGTTGAACAATTTGGACCAGAGTTGTTCGTGTATGAAATAAGGTCTGACCCAGTAATCAGATCCTGCTTTCAGGCGAGCCTTGACAAAGCCTTGTAAGGCCTGCATGAACATTTGCAGGTTCGCCAGGATTTATACCCGGAAATCTTACATTTAAAAACGGATGTACCCGTATCAATTGTACACAAACCTCCCAATGCAAGAATTTGTCCTTTTAAAAATGCACACAAGAGCTTTTTAACAGAAAAGTTTACAAAGAAGTTTGTACATGAATAACATAGACACAAATCAAATATTTAATACTATGAAAAAGATAGTTAAACAATGATGACATTTTCATTTTCATTTCCTCTCACCCTTTGTTTCATCATGTCATTCTCCTCCTGCAGGTTTTTCATCCTTTTGTGCTCAATGTCAAAGTTCAGAAGGGTAGGAGCAGGTTCAAAAGGTCAAGGTCATAATTATGGCATCATTTTGCATACTGGCATCAACAAGTTTCAAATTTTATCTACGAAAAGCTTATGAATATTATCGATAATATATATCTGAATCTTAAGTAATAAAAAACTTACAATGATTACTTATATATACTATTATCCCCTAATTGAATAACTTTTATACATGTACTACATCGTATTGTTGTGACAACTCAGTCTCTTTTCTACAAGAAACAGTTCATCAATATCCCAAAAGACTGTAAACTTTGAAAATATCTTATTCTGATTTATAATACACCTCTCTAAAATCACAGCTTAGTAGTATAAGCTTTCAGGCATTCTTGGAAAAGTCGTTTCCTCCGAGTTGCAAAATTGGACTGTGTATTGATGGGTCTTCAAATAGTTTTCCTTCCTTTTATAAAAGAATGCTATACTATTTGAAGTCTTTTTCAATGCTTCAATGTATTTATACACTGTTTGAAAACTGGGTTAGCTATGAGACTGTTACAAAATTATCCGCTCATTTAAAAAGCTAAATTGGCCGATAGGAAAAGCCCTATTGCTTCATCATATACTGTCTGTGCATCCTCGATACTCTAGGGGTTACGCTCACGTACGTTCTCAGCACCCCTGGAATATGTCATAGCAAAATTGAAGGCTCAGTGTGCACCGCATTGTGTATGATACAGGAAGACTAGTTTGATCCTTTGATGTACATCAAAAACATCTTGTGATAGAGCATTGGTTCAATTGACTGACTAAATTGAAGTCAAATGCGGCTCCTCTTTATAATTTTCAAAGGAAAGGTATCAACCTTGCAGTTGTTCAGGGTTTTCTTTGTATCAAAACAAACCAAATAGCTAGTCATGTGCCTTCAATTTTGTTTTGACATTTTTTCAGGGGTGCAGAGAGCGAAAGTGAGCGTAATCCCTGGAGTATCGAGGATGACTGTCCGTGATACTGAACAACAAAAAGGATATGCATGGCCTGAATGATGACACTTAGGAAATTGTGTAGGGACAGGAAGTAGGTATCCTGCCAGGGCTTTGTGAAATACATCACAAAGGTTGCATTCTCCTCTGGGGACTTGATGAAAGGGAAAGCTAGAAAAAAAAATCAAAAAAAAATCAGTTAAATAAGCTATGATCTTCTCTATAATTTTAAATCAATTTCACTTTTATTGATGGTTCATAATCCCTGTTCTTTTTCAGAAATAAATGCATGCAGACTCTCAAGGACCTATGGTACATAACAGCTATTCCAAAAGTGAATATATTTATTATCTGCTAAAGTGTGCGTTTAAATACATATAGTATTCAACAGGAAAAAAATAAAGATCCTTTCAGTATATACACTACATTTTTAATAATTTAACCCCAGTTGTTGTCCTAAACTAACTTAAAATTGTAAAACTGTAATATATACATTACTCGATTTCTTTCCAACATCTAATAAACTTTAATCGGCAATATATGAAGTAAAAACAATTAAGGAGCTGTTCCAGAAGAGTACATTTTCCTCAAGCCCATTATACAAATGTTAAGATTATCTTCGACCCAGCCATATTCTTTATAAAATAAAACGAAGTACAATATAAGCAAAAAGTCTGACAAACATTTGTCCCAGTTGCAACTTTACTTACAGAACCAATCCTTAAATTCAGACTGATTCTGAATTTCTGGTGTCATTTTTTCGAAGAATTCACGGACTTTGTCCTGATGGTTATTCTGTGAGGCATACACAATGTAGAACTTCAGCAGTCCCACCTCCAGTTTACGAACACTTGGCATGTATCGCTGCTCCAGTCTTGAGAAGAGGCGATGATTCAGGTTGTTCCAAAATTCACGTAAAGATGTGAGGTCATAGGTCACTATGTAAGCATACAACTGTTCAACTAACCTGTCAGCCTGAAATAATAAAAAGAAATTCAATTTGAATTCCATTTAATAATGTAAAGATGTTTGTTGTAAAATTGCAGAATAAACACTCTGTAACGTCTAACAACGTCTAAAAGTACTTAAATAACACCTCATTAACAGAGGTGTTCTTTTTAATTTGAATTGTATATATGTCAATTTTTGCCCCTTGCAAAAATTTAAAATGAAGATGTAAAAGCTGGAGTCTCCCAGTCTTCATGCCCAGCAAGCAGGTTACTAGTATATAGTTATTCAATAATTTTTAAGTCAATATTACTCCTTTTGGGCCCCATTGATCTTTAAGACCCTTTGTTTGTACATATTTGAATTGTAACAGGAGTGGAAAAATGCACAGCCTGACTGGGATTTTAACCCGGGACTCTCCAACATAAGACACTCTACCAATTGAGCTACCTGGTTGCTGGCAATTGACCTCAAACCCAGTGCAGTTCCACTACATTCCTCCTACATTTTTCTAAGTCTTCGCCCCCAAAGACAATTCTATTTACAACCCAGGTTCGGTTATAACAATTCCCTTGACCCAGTGCTTCAAGGGTTGGTCACAGGCACTGTTATATCCTAGATATTTCGGAGGCTGTTTACTCAAGCTCTTCAAGTTTTAATCTGTGCTCAATGTGTACAGTATTGTTATATACATTCACACAATCGACCACCACCATCAATCATCATAAACATGATACGAAGGTCATAGTGTCACATGACATGTATAACTAATCTATCAGGCGGTGTCTTGCTGGGTCTAATCGCATAGATAATATACCACACACTTTTAACTTATTATGTCTATGTTTCACTTATTGGTAACACTACATATTTCCTTCTTCATGCAGTCTCCGAGAATGTAATCTAATACATTAATTTACTTAGACTGTAGAAGAACTGGACTAGGCTGATCGTCGACAACTTGGTAGCTCAATTGGAAGAGCATCCATCTAGAGTTTGGGAGGTCCTGAGTTCGAACCCGGTCTTACTATGCACTTTTCTGCTCCTGTTTCAAGATTATTTCATGAAGGGAGTTTTTATGGCGGTATTACAAAGTCAGGTTCTCTTGAGCTTATTTGATTCTCTTGATCTAAGGTTGGATTAATGTAATAGAAGAAAAAGAAAAGCACAGCCAGACTGAGATTCGAACCCGAGACTTAATCTCCTAACTCCAGAGGGATGCAAACAAGTGAGCTATACCTAGTTGACAATGCAATCTGGTCCAGTTTTGCTACAGAATCATCATCATGGATGCTTCAAACCAAACTTATAGTGTTTGAGCCGCTTGAATAGAGATGTAAGACTTAGTTCTCTCTTAGGCTAAGTGCCCCTCAGCACCGTGGTGTGTAAAATTACAAAAAAACATGCATTGTGATATTTTTCGTAAAATGTAGTTAAATTGTTTAAAAATCCCCTTTAGCGATGCTGAATTGATCACAGGGGTTCGTTACAAATGTCTGAAATACACATATGCTATACTGGTATGGGTCACAGCACGCATACATGTGTGTGTGTGCTGTGACCCGTATCAGTTTAATATATGTGTATTTCAGACATTTGTAACGAACCCCTCTGGGCCGAATATAAAATCTGTACAGTACATTATGCCATATTTCAATAAACCCACTTAAGTATATGCAATTACCCTTAAACCTCTCTCTTTTTCATTTTTCACTTCGGCTTCGAATGTCCTGTGTGCACTCGTAAAACCTCGATACAGTAAATAATCTTTGACCATTTCGTCGACTCTACCAGTAGCAGCCGCCATCTTCCTCCTTTTTGTTCGGAACTCTCGGACTTCACGTCCCCCGTGAAGAAGAGTCGTGAAGTTCTCCGTCAAACTTTGAAAGGGAGCTTACTCTAGACTTCACAATGGCTACTTTCCGTTTAGCACTGGTGCAGTTAGCTGTCTCGGCAACTAAAGCTGACAATCTTGTTAAAGTTGCAAAATTGGTGAAAGAGGCCGCATCTAAAGGAGCCCAGGTTATTGCCCTTCCAGAATGTTTCAATTCTCCGTATGGCACGTCGTATTTCCCAGAGTATGCCGAAAAAATTCCAGGAGATTCAACCGAAGTTTTATCAAAAGCTGCCAAAGATAATCAAGTTTTCTTGATAGGCGGATCCATACCCGAGAAAGATGGCGACAAATTATTCAACACTTGTACTGTGTACAACCCAGAGGGTGCCATGATAGCCAAATATCGGAAGATGCATTTGTTTGATATTGACATCCCCGGTAAAATTAGATTCCAGGAATCTGAAACGCTGAGTCCTGGTAACACCTTCACGACATTTGACACACCATACTGCAAGATTGGTGTGGGCATATGTTATGATATGCGATTTGCTGAAATGGCACATATCTATAACAAAAAGGGGTGCAAGCTGATTGTGTATCCAGGTACTATATATATATTTTCTTTATAATGTTTACTTGTTGAATTTATCACTTCAAATTCATACCACAGCTGATCAGTTTCTATGATATTTGTATGTGGTATTTAAGCATAGTAACTGCTTTCAGTTGGCATTCATAGGCAATATGAATGCCAACTGGATGTTTACCATTGTTCGAATCTGTTCATCTCCTAAAAAAATCAATTACACTTAAAATATTACACTTAAAATATTTTTCAGCTTTTAGTTAAAATAATGTATACATGTACATGTGCTTGTTCAATGAAAAGAACAGCCATATATATCGCCCGGGGAGGGTCAGTGGTATCCAACGTAACAATTATGACGTCATAATAGTAGTGACATCAACAATCAGTCCAAGGCATTAGTAGCCTATATGAATGCCAACTGAATTTGGTAGGGTTATATAGTGGCAATGCCATACCATGGGAAATATTGTTTAATGTCTGCCATATGTGCATTAAACGATTGAACTTGTAATCTGGGATTTGAACCTGGAACCTATGAATCCTAGAGAGGAAGCTATAACCAACAGGGCTGCTGTTGGTAGGGGTGATTTTGTGCTTTTAAAAGACCAGATAATGCTTAATTTAAACTTGAGTCTAGTCTGACCATTACCATTGTAGCTGAACTAGACTGGGTCATTCACCGGCAACCAGGTAGCAAAATTTGGTAGAGCCTCTGTCTAGAGTATTGAGGTTCTTGAGTTTGATTCCTAATCTGTCAGCCCTTATTTTCGCTCCTGTTACATTGGTGTCGGTGTTTGAAGTAATGGGTGAATGCTTGGCAAGGGGATACCTCAGTCTGGGTTGTAAATAGTGCTGTTTTCAGGGGCAAAGACATAGAAAAAAAGGAATGCAGCAAAACTGGATTGGGGTGTTCACTGGCGACTAGGTGGCTAAAATGGTGGGCAGCGTTCTAGAATTCAGAGGGTTCCGGATTTGCTTTTTCATGTATAAACATCACGTAAATGTTGATTTTTTTTTGTGTGTTTCAGGAGCCTTCAATATGACGACAGGCCCTGCCCACTGGGAGCTGCTGCAGAGAGGACGTGCCCTTGATAATCAGCTCTACGTAGCCACAGTGTCACCAGCCAGGGATGAGACGGCTTCTTATCATGCTTGGGGACACAGTACCCTGGTGAATCCCTGGGGGTCTGTCATCACCACCATGGAACACGAGGAGGGAGTCATCTATAGCGATGTTGACCCTAATTATGTAGACGAGGTCCGTTCCCAAATTCCGATCAGTTTTCAAAAGCGAAATGACATTTACAAGGTTGAAGAAGTGGAGGAAAATGGAAAAAAAGCATAATTGTTTTTTGTTTTTTTGTAAAATTGGAACATTATCCAGATAATTTGAGTTTCAAAAGATATTAACAAACTTCCCAGACTGAAAAAAAAGACCAATCTTAAAAAAAATGGCTAACAGAATTGCATCATGATTATTGAATGTAGATTTTGATTAACTTTTTTGTGTATGATGGGTTTTGCACATTGACTGGCTGATGCTTTTACCTGTATACTCTCCTATTTTTTAATTATCTGTGCCATATCTACCTGTCCAGGTGTCAATTTTGTGAAGACAAACATGATGATATTATTAAAAATTATGATAATATAATTTTAACTAAATTATAAGATGAAACAGGATTGGCCCAAACTGGCTTAAATTGTTGATGGACTGTAAAATAATATGATACAAATATTTAACAGGGGATCCTACAGAGATATCAAGATATAATTTATCTGATTAGTACCGATACTACAGAAATTGGCAATTTGTATCTCAGTGCTATTTTTAATTCAATTTGTGTTTATTGATATAATATACATAATATAAACATATATAATCTAATTATATCAAAGTTTCTCTTTATAAACAATCAAGTAATGTACATATTTAAATGTGTCGCAGCATTTCAAAACGGACTGGTCCCTTTGTCAAGCTATGACTGAGTGAGCGATCTGTATTGCTCCTGTTAGGTCAGCGGGGGCTAGATTTACACCCTACCAGTAACCTATTCTAAACAATGTGTATACACTCTCTAACTATTGGCGAAACATCCCGGGTCGAGTGACATATGAAATGTACAATTTCGTCGCATCATTGTACAGGTAAACAATACAAATCGCTCACTCAGTCGTAGCTTGACAAAGGGCCAAGTCGGTCTTGAAACGTGGCGGCACATTTAAATTAACACGTACATTGTTTGTCTATAAAGTAAAACTGACATATTACATATTTCCGAACTAATGAATCTTATTGCAGAAATTATAATCTGATACATGAACTTTTAAACGGAATCTGGTGTATTTTTAATCCAGGCGAAATTCCTTCGGTAAAATTTCACTGCTATTAGTAATCAGAATTAGCAATTTGAGATTAACAGAATTCAGAAAACTGTGATGTGTTATAATTGGAGGGAAGTGATAATGTACAATTACTTAAAAGACATTTTTACAAGGGAAAATGAGATCCAACGTCCGCTAGTGGCTGTTCAGATAAGTTCTGCATACCACAATTGATGGATTTCTAAATGGAATTCACTAATTTTGTAAATGACATTTGTTTTAAACGATGATTTATTGAATGTTATTTATAATACAGTATTTTTTGTATTAACAAACAAAAAACAATGGAAATAAAGTTATTTTAATTATATGCTATGTAAACTATAATCAGTATATTCCAATAATGTTCATTCACAGTAAATATATACAGAAAAATATAAAACTTGAGGCAGATATAAGATGATGAGCAACAGTAATTGTCAACATAAAGTACAATACCTCACCCTGTTATTAGCAGATATTTGAGGTACTATATATATATGTGGAAATTCTTGCCCAGTATACATGCACAAGGCTAGAAAATAATGGTAGCCCGATAGTCTGAGACTAGTGAAATCTCAAGCTGGACTAGTGGTTCTAAAAGCTGCTAGCCCCATTTTGCTAGTTGTAATTTGATATATTACCTGTCATGTTAAATAATATTGTGTTTGTTAATTTGCACATGAACTAGTAAAATAAGAAACAACCAGCCCAACTGTCTAGTGGTTTTAAAATTAATTTCTAGCCGTGATATAAGATTCACCCTTCACCAGTAAAATCCATAAACTTCAATATAAACTTTGCCTTGCATTTGTAATAACTGTATAGATTATTGTGAGTACTTATATTCACTGCCATGGTAAATTCTTCTTATTGCGGCGGTTGAAAAAGGAAAGGCGAAAACTAAACATTTTTGTTGTGTTTACATTTTATTGTAAATGTTGTGTTTACATTTTATTGTAAATGCATATGTATTATACTTGTGAGACAAACAAAATATTTCTAGAGGTACATTCTGTACAGGTGTGAATGATAGACTTTCGCCTGTTTTTGTTAACCTGTACATTTTTGTGTGCAGTGGATTATAACAATAGGATGTTTATCAATATATTGCATATCACAAAGAAACAGCGAGAAATTGAATACATTAAAACACTCATTATATTACATGTATAAATGGGTTTTGCAAAATAAGGCAGGGTCCTGGGGGCTTGTAAAGGATTTGTTAAGAGAATGGTACTTAGATTATACTTTACATATCATTTGTATTCGAGAGAATTGAATAAAATATCCATGATTTAGCCATTTCATATTTTAATTTGTTGCTGAAATAAAAAAAATATATACCGAAAAAATAAACATCAAAATTGTATTCAGATATTTTTTCACATAAAAAGTATTTGTAGCGCAAATGTAAATATAGGGGTGAAAGGGTTAAACCTGATCCATAAGTCAATATGAATATGAACTCCAAGAACGGTGCGAGTCTGTTAGTACAATTTCGGTAGCACTACCACATAGCTATGTTACCCAAGGGAAATAATTCAATGGAACATCTATATACTTGTTATTGCTATGTTTCCATTACAACCAAAAGTTAAACATACTAATGCTTTCATTACGATCACAATGCGAACAAGGAAATAGGTGCTTATAAGAAGCGTTCGCGTCATCGTTGAATGCGTAACAATTTGCTAGATGTGGTAAGATTTTGCTGATCTGTGTTACTTCCGATTGGCCTGCGTAAAGGGCGAATCACATCCTTGTTCTTGCGTATGAGCTTTGCAACTTCGCCTTTTTCTATATCGTCTCAAAGAAAAATGATAGCCATGTTCTCTCGTCCATCGAGAAATATATAAACACTGGCTAGTTTCATCATAATCCTTGTCCATCCACGTTCCAAAACAAAAGCTACAGGGTTCTGTTATTGACAACCAGAAGTTTACAAACCAAATTTATGAAGCGGGACGGGAACACTCCTCCAGTTTTGACCCCATTTAAATAAATTCGCCATCACCTATTTAAATCTACTAAAACTATATATTTTTCCAAAGTTAAATATCTGAAGATATATACCATTCAATAAAAAATATGCCAACAATTACCCATTGAAATTACTAAGAGTCACTGTATTTTACCGAAACAAATTTTAAGTAGGGATTACAATCGTATGAAACACTTCTGCTGATGGCTGATTTAGATGTGTGAGTCCATGAACCTAGTACGGAATAGATATGGATATCAACTCCAATCTTGAGTCTGACAGCATAATGTTAGAAGAGCTACCATGCACATATTTATTCTGTCTCTAGCAAATATGTCATAGTAATATTAACACCAAATATGATTATGTTTCCAGTATAATCACATTAGTAATGATATATTGTTTTGCTTTTACAAGTTAGACTCGGAAACAGGTGCTGATAAGAAGTGCTCATTTCCTCGTTGAATACGTTTGAACATTTTTTTCCAAAACAGTTTTTCAGCTGTGATAAGGTTTCGCCGATCGGTGTTACTTTCGAACAACCAACGTAAAGGGCGAATGACATCCCAATTTTTACGAACGAGCTTTGGAAATTCGCTCCTTTTGATATCGTTTAAAAGAATGATAATATTCATGTCTTCTCGACCATCCCGAAAAGAATAAACACTGGCAAGTTTCATCGTAAACGTTGTCCATTCACGTTGCAGGAAATTACAGCTCACAACAAACACAGTTTGATATGAGTTATTTATAACGTCCATAATGTTATCAGCGATGTCACGACCAAGCGGGAAACTTTTTTCATCAATGCAATACTCAATTCCTTTTTCCTGTCACCACGGAACGAATGTGGTTGTTATCCAATCCGAATCCTCGTCACAATATGATATAAAAATGTCATTTTGATATATCGTATGTTCCAATGGTTGTCGACATCTCACACGCAACCATACACTATGTCGCCATGCTTCTCGTGTTAGAATTATCAACATAAAGAAAACCAAAATCAGCATAACGGAGATGATTAACCAGAATTGAGAAACACAACTGTCCTGAAATTCATCAAAGGACTCTATAGAAATTTTCCAAACTTAAGTTGATTTCCATCCGTAGTCATGCAAATAAGTTCATTCTTGTTGTATAAAGCATGCGTAGTTTCTAACTATAAGATACACAACTTAATCGTGTTCTCACGACCTGTTAACACATCAATTGCAGGCTATATAGCATTAACAAAATTTACGACATGTTGGTATATCATAAATTATTTTTCATTGACATGAATTTCTTCAGTAAATAGTCAACGTCACAAATATATTCATCTTGTTGTTATTGTAGAGACGCATGTATACCAGCTTTTGTATGCATACAAGCATACAATGAAACTTAAACCTATAGTATTGGTAATATAAACATATGAGCATAAGCAGCTTAATTATTTTGACTTTTACTTTATTTCAAGCAAATATGCAATAAGTACATGTTTTTTTTTACTGTATGTATAGCGGTATTTGTACATACGAATGCCTATACTTGAAGTATCACATAAAATGTATATTTGATACGTTTCATACGTAGGTGTGTGTACTGAAAAAAGTTGACGAGGTTAAAACAGGAAGAAGCTTCCCGTG